CCCAAATAGGATTACTCACAGTGCAGACACTGCTCGGGGCTGGAGAGCTTCTCCCCAGTTCCTCGTGAGTGACCCCGTTTTCCTCACGTGACTCACAGAGGGCTCGAGGAGACTCCCCCGGGGCTGGTCCTTCACGAGGGCCTCAACTGCACCCAGCACTGTGATGCACTGGAGAGCGGGCCCCACTGGGACCTGGAAATGTGCTCTGTGTCCTGCAGACCCGCTTCAGACCCAGCGCTAGTGCTGGTGCTGGTGCTTGCGGCTGGTGCTAGGCAAGTCCTCAGCCCCCCGAAGACTCGGGGCTTTTATTACGGAAAGGGGCTCGGTATGGACGTAGTCATGACAGAGGCAGAGACTGACACAGGGACAAAGGACAGACTCCTGGGCTCTCAGGCTGTAATTCATTAAGGGCACAATTTATGTTTTCTTCTGAGGCACTCAGGGACTGCAAACCAGTTTTTGCTAAAACTCACGACCCTGCTCAGGCCTACAGATACGGTGGGCAGGTGAAATTAGAATGAAGCCTGACCCCTGTTTCTCAGATGCTGTGTTGGGTGCTTCTTAGCTCCACACAGAGGCGCATCAGTGTGGAGTGAGAACCTGGCTAAAAGTGAGCTGAAAAGCCTTCAAGACGGGCCACCAGGCCGAGGGTGACTGGTTGTCGGGAGTCCCAGGGAACCCAGTCACTCACAGCATCACTTAGAACCTCCAATGCTGTCCTGGCCCAGGGACCCCTGGACCCCGGAGACCCCAGGCAGAAGCAGCCACTTCCTGGGAGCGTAATCCGAATCACCCCACCAGCCACGAGGATTCCTCCTGAGCAGAAACAAGGACAGATGGGGACCCACTGGCCCGTCCTGCCTCAGCCAACCCTGAAAAGCTGGCTCCTGCCCTCGTGGGGGGCTGGATGCACCCCACACCTGGGCCTTTCCCTGTCGCTGTCTCCCTTGTGAGGGGCCCGCTTGCTCTGTGTGCCCTGTACCCCTTCGTTTCCTCTTCTCATGAACGCACCTTCCTGCACATTTGTGCTTTGATTCCCATCGGCACTGAGGCAAGGACCCACACTGGCTGGTGTGGGCACTGCTGAGGAGAGAGAGGTAATCCATGGCCTGGGACACACGAGGGCCGAGCATCATTAGCTGTGGGCTTAGTGTGAGGGGAGCAAATGCAGAAAAGCCCGTCCTAACCCTTGAGCTAATTATCCCTGAATCCAGGTGGAGTCAGATCGCCCTGGAGCTTGGCTCTCTGGCCTCGGGGTGCGAGCTCTGGTGTCTGCTGGCCTCTTCCCCACGCCTTGCTCACATGAGGCGGGCACAGTGCTCATCTGGGATCAGGCAGGTGCCTCTCTGGTAACTGACAGCCAGCAAGGAGCAAGCTGAACCCCACTGGTGTGCGGGGCTAGGTGGAGAGGGCCTGGCTCCTGGCACCGTCAGTCTTCCCCACTGTGCCGTACTGACCCCAGCATCGTCACTGCAGCGATGACGTGTGGCATGGCCCTTTCTGTCCCTGGGAACATGAGTGAGGTGGCTGCCTGCGTCCCAGCCTGGCCAGCACTGGAGAAAGCAGCCGCAGTGTCCTGAGTGCTGCCTGCTTGGCATTCGGAGAAAGATCCCAGTTCTCCCCGGTACCTTGTGCCAGCCATGTCCTGCCGAGAGTGCCAGCCAAAGCCATTGTGTCCGCTGCATTCCCAGGTCACTCTCCCAGCATCTCTGTTTCTCACACTGATGCAGATTCCCATGCTCTGCTGGGGCCTCGGCATCTGTCCCTGCTCTCACATGGGAGCTTGGTCCCCAGTGGGACAGTGTTGAGAGGAAAGCCTTAGGCACCTGGAGCCCTGATAAACAGAAGGAGCTAGGCAAGGTGGTGCACACCTGTCATCCCAGGGCTCTGGGAGGCTGAGGCAGGAGGATTGCAAGTTCAAGCCCAGCCTGGGTAATTTAGCAAGACCCTGTCTCAATCAATCCATCAATCAATAAATAAAAGATCTGGGGATATAGCTCAGTGTGAAGGCCTGGGATCAATCCCCTGTATAAAATAAATAAATAGAGGAAGGAAAAGGGGAGGAAGGAAGAAAGGAAAAGAGAAAGAAGAACAGGAAAAAAGAGATTGAAGAAAGCTAGCTGTCCCTCCACACCTTCCACATCGCCCACCACGAGAAGAAGGCTCAGCCGGAAGGCGCCACCCTTGAGGCAGAAGGCGGCCTCACCGTGGTCCTGGACTTCCACCTTCAGGACTGCAGAAATTCCTAACCCCTGAGTTAATGAGCCCCGAATTCAGGTGGGGCTGTTAGTAAGTCACCCAAAGCGTGTTGTAATCATGGCAGGAGCAGACAAAGGCGCAGGCTGTCAGGATCGCCACGGGTTACTCTGCAGGCAGCATCAGAAATCAGGTAGAGGTGCCCCTTTCACAGGCGCAGGGGGCTCTGCGATCTGCTCTTCCTTTCTCTTAAAGAGAAGCGGGCCAGGCGTGGTGCACACCGGTCATCCCAGCACTCCGGAGGCTGAGGCGGGAGGACCATATAGCGGACCCTGTCTCAAAAACGAAAAGAAGCGAGAGCCCGTGTGTATGGACCACAGCACCAGAGTTCTATTCGTGCTCTTCCTGACATTTATAGTAACCCTTCACAAGTGACGCAAACTTCCTCTGCCTGGGCTGAGGGAGCTCACCCAGGGCAGTGTCAGGAGACGCAGGTGACAGGCGGGCCCTGAGGAGCCGTGAGGCCCTGCGACGCTCACCACATCCTCCCTGGGTTTCCAGAGTCCGAGGAGGAGTCAGTCCTGCAGGAGCTTGTGCTGCCTGTCTTGCTCCCCATCCACCCCTTTCTTGGGGTGCGGTTGCGCTGGGTCTCGCCCACATTGGGTGGGTGAGCTGGCACCGCCCGAAAGGCAGCGGACAGAAACGAGACCGGACACGCTCACTGCCCTGCCAGCTCTGACCAGGTTTCATCAGGTGCCACGGCACGAGCCCCAGAGAGCTTCCTGCCCTGGGAGTCCCGGAAGCCTTGCGAAGTCTGTGCTGCAATGGCCTTGGAGCTGGTTGTGCTTCTCACGAGAGCCACGCAGCTTAGAGATTGCCCCGCGCACGGGAATTTGCTCGACAGTATTTAGGTCCACGCTGGACTTTGTGATCTGTAGTAACATCCAGTTTCTTTCTGTTCGTTCCTTCCTTTCCTTCTGCAAGCCTCCCTCTCACCCTTTCTCACCTCTGAAACCAAATGAAAACTCTTTTGTCTTCTCCCCATTTTACTGTTTTCTTCTCCTTTCCTTATTTTCACTCTGTTTGTTCTGACATTTGCTGCATCTGTGTGTGTGATTCATTGCCCGGGTGATACAGTTATTCTTTATTTGTTTTTGTGTTTTGAGGCAGAGTCTCACTATGTAGTTCAGGGCAACCTTGAACTGTCTTTGTAGCCCAGGCTGTCCTCAAACTCATGGTGATTCTCCTGGCTCAGCCTCCTGGGAGCTGGGAAGACAGGCGTGTGCCTGGTGGCAGTTACTCTTTAAAGTTGAGATTTATGACTTGGCTCCCGTCACAGGACACTCCTGACTTTTTCCTCCAGAAGCGAGAATAGGATCAGGTTTGTGCTGTGGACCTTCCTCAGACCCTCCTCCGGCAGCCAGGCTGAGGACCTGCAGGGGTGCTCTGTGGGAGCCCTGGTGTCCTCCGGGTCCGGGCCTTCAGGTCTGGATGCTCCCTGAATGTGGGGAGTGGTGCAGCGGGAGCTGAGGCTGCACTTGCAGGATGATCTGCACCACTGTCTAGCGCTGTCCCTGCCACTGAGCCCCATTTGGGCCACTTTTGGACTTGGGGAAACAGCCGCGTGTGAGGTGGCACAGTTCTCTGGACCCCTTTCCAGAAGGCTGCTCATGCAGGAGCTGGGCTCTTGCCAGCCATCTGTAAAAGGCCCCTTTTCTTCTCCCAGTGCTGGGAGAACCCCAGATGCTGGGCCACGGAAATAAGACCCTGGGGTGTGTGGCTCAGAGCCCTGCTGGCCTCATTCCAGTTCCCACAGGAACAGACCACAGTGGTACCCACCATCAGGGCCTTGAAGCCGCAGGCACTGTCTCCTGAGGACTCCATCACATAGGGGTGTTTCTAAGGCATAACTTCATCGCTCTGGAGACTTTGGGCTCAGCTTCCCAGTATCTGTTGCAACCTTCTGCTCTTTAAGGAGTTTGTTGCTGTTGCTTCCAAGCTCAATGGAAAAGGGTGACCAATTCATGCAGTCAAAGTAAAGATTCCGAAGAGATCTGATAACTTCTCCCATCTAGTACAATGTTACAATTGTTAGGGTTTAGATCTGGGGCATTTCTTCAAAGCCTCAGGTGTCTGCATCATGGGGGCTACAGCTGACTGCTGCTGTTTCAGGGCCCCTGGGGGTGCACCCGGGAGGTTCCTCTCCCTCCTCCCTTCTCTCTGCTTCCTGTCCGCCATGATGTAAGTAGCGCCCCTCTGCCAGGCCCCTCTGCCCTGCCACCTTGCCTTGGAGCTGGCCAACCAGGAGACAAAGTACACCTCTCCTGTTTTAAACTGTGAGTGTCAAATGACTAGCCACATATTTACGTTTAATTTATTAAAATTTATCTCACTTATTCCTAAAGTCTTGGAAGAAAATTCAATCCCAAGTAGAGAATTGGTAAAAGCAGAGAGCCAGTAACCAGAGTTCAATGCTTTGACAGAGGCTTCAGCTCAGTGGAGAAAACCGGACTGACTTTGGGGAGCTCTGCACCACTTTCTCAGTCACGATTTCCTGGTTGGTAAACACGAGCAGCTGACTAGCTGCTGCATCTCCCTGGGCTCAAAACTTCTCTCAGTCTACAGAGTGAGGTACAGCCTGGGAGGGATTCCATGGAAAGAAGCCCAGAATGATGTCCTGTGCACCGGGATGACAATGGCATGGGGTAGGGAACTCCCCTTGCAGGAAGGGTGTCAGTAGCAATATCAGAAGAAAAGAAAACAGGAGGGAAAAGGAAAAGTCTCTTTTTACCAGGCTTCTGCAGAGTGCCAAGCACATCCACCAGCACCGTCTTGTGTGGAAACATGCCAATGTTTCAGGGACTTCCTCCTTCAGGGAGAAAGACAGCATCAGTGTCCCTCACCCCAGAAGCATGGTGACAGCACTGAGTGGTTTTCACGTGACAGGCACTTGTCTAAGTCCTTTGCACTTGCACAGTTTCTCCCACACACAGATAGGACACTGAGCATCCAGCTGGGAAGTGGCAGGGTCAAGCTTCAAATCCAGTCGAGCTTTAGAACAAATGCTCTCACCCACATCCTGTATTCCTGTCATACGTTCACAAAGTCCTTGATGAGTGCTGACTGCAGGCCTTGAGCTGAGCCCTGATGAAGGGCTCACGAGACCTCAGCCCCTGGAGAAGCTTGGTACACACGTGGCAGCTGTGCCCTGGTGACCACACTGAACTCTGAGAGGTGCCTGGCAATAGTCTCTGGGTCAGGAAACGCTCACAACTCCATTCTGGGCAGCACAGGGCCTGGCAGAGGGCCTGCCTCTGCTCCCCAGCTCTGTGGGAGCTGCCCTTCCTGTGGCCAAGGAATTCAGGGCCACAGACATACCCATCTGGAGCTCCCGTCTTAACCCCTAACCTCTGCCGGGTACCTGGAACCTTGCACCTCTTCCCCAAGGCTCTGACCTACTTCTGGGGCCTGCAGTGGAAGTGAGCTCTGTGAGGGCAGAACACATCACCCTGGGACAGCAGGGTAGTTGAGGGCAGCTACTATGGGCCCACGAGGACCCCCTGGGAGCAGAGCAGAACTGGGGGAGAAAGAGGACTGGGTGGTGAGTTGGGTCATGTTCAGCACAGAACTCTGTAGAGACTCGAGGCTTCTGCACAGAACCTGGCCTTTCAGGGCCCTCTGCGGATAGCTAGCTGAGGGAAGTAGGTAGAGCACGACTTCCTCCAGCCTGCTAACTTGGTTCCTTCATGGGGCCACAGGTCGTGGGTCTCACAGTACCCTTCCCATTCCTCCATACCCTGTACCCAGCCTGCCTCCACGGGCCCCATTTCAGTCACCTTCTTGCCCTCTGTCACCTCCTCCTGGAGCCGGCTGAAGCTCATGTCACTGCCTCCCTGGAGCATGCACATGACAGCTCTGTCTCCCAACCGCTGGGATAGTCACGGCTTGGTCACTGTCTTGTCACTGAGACCCAATACTTGACACCCAAGGTTAAAGGAGGATAGGTTTATTTTAGTTCAGTTTGTAGAAGTTTCATTCCGTAGTTGGCTGGCTCCAAGGCAGAGTGGAGTGGCAGAGGAGAAACAGCCCATGGCAGGTCAGGCAGGAGGCATTGTCAAGGGAGACGCACCCTTCCAGGTCACCCTCCGAAGACCAGCCTCTTCCAACCTGACCCCAGCTGTTCCCTACATCCTCTGCTTCCTGTCCACCATGACCGGGTTTCATGCTGGGCCCAAGAGTGATGGAGCCAGGTGATGTCTGAACAAAACTGCTGAACCCATGAGCCCAGAGAACTCTTCCACCCACAGGTTTTTTTTTTTTTTTTTTTTTAGTTTTTTTGAGACAGGGTCTCACTACATAGTGAGACTGACCTGGAACTCACTGTGTAGCCCAGGCTGGTCTCGAACTCACAGTGATCCTCCTGACTCGGCCTCCCAGGTGCTGGGATTACAGACGCGCGCCACCATGCCCGGCCACCCTCTGGTCTTTTGTCACAGTGAGTGGTGGAGAGCTGACGCACGCTCCAGTGCCACCAGTCCACTATAGCTTGACCTCCCTGATGTCACTTGTGCCACACAGCAGGTGCGGCCTAGCCTTTTCCCTCTGTTTTCCTGCCGCTCTCCTGGGTGGTTTTTTGGTGTCAGGATTTGAACTCGGGTCCTTGCGCTCGAGAGGCAGGCAGTAGAACCACTGAGCTAAATCCCCAGCCCTCTCCTGTTTCTGCTCGTGGCGCACCTCGGCGTCCTTTGCTGGCTTTTGGAGACATCCAGGTCCTCACATCTGCCACCCAACCAGGTGCTCTGTGGCGCCCCAGCTGCTGCCTGCTTGACCTCTCCTTCCAGATGTGCCCTGGGCAGCTCCAGGCCACACAGCCAGGCTTTCACTGCTCCTCCCCTGCCTGGCTCTGAGCTCCTCTTTCCTGCTTTACTTCAGCCCGAGCTCCACCCTCCTCTTCCCAGGGCCTTAGGAGACCTGGGCTGACACCTGGCCCGGAGACCCCCACCCCAGGGGCGGTGAAACACCCCTGCTGGCATCTGTGTCCTCTGAGGCTGCGACACAGCTGAAGTCTCAGGGATGGGCTGTAAAACTGGGGACAGAGGAGCTGGGGCAGAGGCACCTGCTCTTCCCAGGACGGGGGTCAAACCGGAGGTGGCCGAGGGGACTAGGAACTGGAGCTCTGAAGGAAGCGGCGAGGGCCGGGACAGTTGGGGACAGAGACATATTTTTGTGCAAGGGTCCCGCAGTCAGCCTCGGGGCGGGCCTCTCCCGGGCCCCTCTCCTGAGCTGGGGCCGGGTGGGGGCTCTCAACTCCAGCGGCC